TTTTGAAAAAGCTTGGCACACCCTGAACGACGTCCCTTGTTAGCTGGGACGCCCACATCTAGTCTGATATTACGTATAAACCCTAAGCGTAGCTGTGTAATTGCGTACTACGTACCAGTGCTACCGTAACCCACGCCTAATTTTATTCAGTCCAGCCTTGATGCAGCTGTCTGTATCTACCAGTGCAATGTGCATGTAATGTACATCCATTCTGTGCATGTTGTTTTTCTTCGCTTTCTATCGCTGTTACTACCTGTGGCGAGGATTTCGCGGCGAAATACTGATCCAAGAAGTCTCGTTTCAGACATGCAAGACGGGGAATCAAGTGCAACTGTAGAAAGTAAGGACAAACAGGAATGGAGGACGAGACTTCCCCTGACAAAAATTGAAAACAAGGATATCAAGAAACTATCAACTGATGGCATGAGCAAAGCGCATCGGATTTCACCTGGACATGAAGTAAATCAAGGAAAAACGACACGGACTGAGTTCACAATTCACGGTAATCTTTTCCTTCTTTTCATTCACCTGATTACGTTCGTCCGTTTTCTGATGCTTCTGCAAGCACGATTAAGGAACTCGAATTCGAACCACCTCACCTAGAGCGTATCATGCATGCGAGTATTCCCCTCTTAACGGAATGACGCTTTCTCACAATATCAAGGCTAACATTGAACTAGTGCTCAAAAATGTTGCTCTAACATAGTTTTTTGAATAACTCATGCTTCGCTTTCACTTAGCACACACCCTGAATATGTTGTCTTGTACTCGGATTCATTTTTCAGAACGTGAAGCTTAGAAATACTGAGACTTTGTATACGAGGGTGCTGTCATGCGGGGTGGTTCATAGGAGAAAGCGACTTTTCCGCCTATAGCGCGGAAATTTTTTCGCTGCTGGAACCCCCAGCCAACTTTTGAGCAGTGGTGGACCTGGGGTTTCCACAGCGACAAGTTTCGTGCGCGGAAGTGGAAGGCGTTTACTGTCTTAGTGAATCAAACTTTGCCTTTCTTTGCGATTACCTTGCACTGCGCTCGAGTGTGGAGTAGATTTATATTGACATCGCATGATCGATGCATCATCCGAATTACAAAAGATCAAACTCAACAGCAAAAGCAAACTTTTACTGCAATTCTACTCTATGCAACTCAGTGTTTTGTAAGAACTTGTTCGAATCCTTGAAGTCTAATTCAAAATGAAAAGCGTGGAATACATTTATTGAAGTTTTGTGGCCAGCTGTGGGTCCTGTGGCGAATTCGTTGACATCTATGATCGCAATGCTGTGCGTGCACTTTTGTACGATTTTTAGAGAATCACCATTTTCTGTCGCTATTGCTACTCAAACTTTTTAAGCAGGTTGTCTACGTTCGTACTCCAAGTGTGACGAGTGTGAGTGATCTTCTGATGCGAATTGCGTGCGTTGATGAAATACTTAGGGCAAGAACATCTATCCATAAATATAGCTTTGCTGGGCGTTATTTTTGCCTCTAGTGAAAAACCTAGCTGTTTTTATGTCCAAACTGATATAATATTCCTCAGATAAATACTTCTGTACGATATGCGGTCAAGAAATTCATAAGAAAAGCTTCTACCGTCATTTGGAAGTGAAGCACAATTTTTCCAAAGAACAATGTCTCCAAACCCAAATGGAAAATAAGCAACAACGAGCAACGATTCAATGTCCACTTTGCGATGAGAAGGTAGTCGACCAAGAAGCTTTGGCAAATCACTGCGCAAAGCGCCACTCAGAAGACGGCGCAGATGGGCTTGCTCAAGATTATACAGTGTTCTACAAAGGAATTTGAAACTGAAGACGAGTACAAGGTTTGCTTTGCTGACTGCTGCTTTTTTGCCTACAGTTCACACTATTTCTATTTTTAAGGTTACTCCCTGTTGTTACCATCATAGTGAACTGTTACTAAATGCTCGCATTTAGCGTTGGTATCTGGAAGAGTGCAAGAGAAATTGCATCACGTTTTGGCAAAGACAAAAAGTTCATGGGCGAAATAGTACAAGGATAACGCTGTGGTAATCCTCATGCTATTCCAACTGTTTCATTTCCGTTGTATATTTGGGTCTGTTAATGTTATTTCACGTATACGCACAAACGTCTCTTGATTTAATAAATTAGGTGCAACCGTGCCGGAATATATCGCAACACGGCCAAGGATAGAGTCCGTACGACGCGAAAGGACAATATGTATTGCTCCTGCTTTTTGAGCGTGGATTATCTGATCAGTGGAATGATTGTGGTAAAGGGTTGTTTTGGCCATGCTGGCCACGCGCTGGATCCAGCGCTGTTACGCTTATCCCCAGACCAGCAGGAATATTTAAAAGTGTTATTAGAAGGTATCGGAAGTGCTACATGAGTTGTTTACATTCCCATAGACCTTTTGAATGTTTCTATCCCTTTCAGAGCATACATTCCACTACATCATTCATCGACTGCGGAGAGAACATCAGGATAAGAAATCCAGACTGTTCTTCGTATCAAGGGATGACCTTTGGAACCTGACCAAAAGGATTCAAAATAAGACCAGGTTGTCGGGATCCTGTCGATATGACTTCCGTATCTATCAGAGTTGAAGAAAACAATCCGAATGACGGCATAAGGTTGTTCCAACCTCCTTCTGATGCCAGCGGGAAAGGCTTCCTCATGGGTGAGCTGTAGATTTTTAATCGGTAGCTGTGAATTTATATTTCAATCACATGAATCAAATTATAGTAATTCTGACGCCGTTGCAATTGAAATGGTTAACGTCTTACTCGTCCAGAGGTGTGAGTATCGATGATACTCACCACACTACACGCTACAATATTAAACTAGCAACACTTATGGTAGCAACGAAAAGGATAGCGGTCTCCCTGCCAGGTCAGTTCCCTAAAAAGCTTAAGAACACACCATATCTGTGACGCCATTACACCCATTTCAGCTTTTTTGATGAGCGGCACAATGACAGCTGACGATGTCTCGAGATTGTTTCGAGGTGATACGTACATTGATGCCGGCTTTCAATCCACCCACCATTGTGACAGATGAGGCTCCATGCTTTTTTAATGGGTTCCGCAAGGTTTTTCCCGACGCCTCTACAGAAATCCGTTACTGTCGGTATCCACATAGCTAAAAGTTGGGAAAGGAAAACGCGAGAGGTCGTGGAGGCAAGTATCTTATGACTTTATCCGAATGAGGAAAATACTTCTCGGCGTTCTTCAGGCTGACCTCCGCCCTATGGTAGACAAAGCTTTACGTGATCTTCTAAAGGAAGGCGAATTGGATGTATTCGAAAAGCGTTTTGCAGATATATTAGCTTTTTTGAAGGTGAAGAAGCAAACCGCAATGGTGGAGTACCTCTCTAAAAATTACCTAGGTTCCTTTTTCATCCTATATTTTGACGAGCTCAGTTATAAGAAGTAATCCAGAGAATAATCTTTAGGTAGAACGACGATGTGGGCATCGTTCAGAAGTAAAGGAGCTATCATGGATACAACCATGATAAGTGAGCGTTGGCACCGCATTTTAAAGGAGGATATTTACATCGAAATTCAAATTGCCGCATCGATTGCCTTATCGAATTACTTATTCGATCGGTTACAGAAAAAGCGAATGCGATTGAGATCATGGTACGGTGTTGGTTTCATCGGAATGGGTTTGAACGGAGGTGTTTCGTTTTCAGGATCGGAGACGCTTTGTGAAAAGCTCATTTCGATGCATGGAGTCCAATCAAAACCCATCGGCTAGCTGAGAAGTATTACGCCAATGAAACATGGAAAATCCTCTACAGGATAATAAATTTCTCGTCGCGTCTTGTAATGACAACGAAAATTTTACTGTATTACGGACAAGCGATTGTTTTTGTGACGCAAAGGTACTTTTATAGATGTTTAAACGAATTTTAAAAAGCACAGAACTTGACC